CTTATCGCCAAAACTTCGTTAAATCTCCGATTCAAGCCTACCGCCTGTCTACGGTTTCGTCTCAGTACCACCTACGCAACCACACCGCTCAAGGTCCCAAAATCTTCCCGGATGAGAAATTGACCAAAAATTACCCTTAACCCAAGAGTAAATTAATATTTTCTCTTAATTAGATTAAAATAGGAAAATAATCGGAGTCGGGGTGTTACATTGAAGGTCAGACAAAGTCTTGAAGATCAAATGGGAGTTTGACTTGTGAAACCTAAGGGCAACTTTTGGTAAGTAATGCTTAAGGTCAAGTCCAAAGAGGTGGACCTTGTGACTAGACATAGGGGTCGGAGTTTGAAGCTTCAAAGGCATGACGTTCCACAACAAGTCAGACCAAGAACTTAGAAGTCTAACCCAACTTCTGAAATCAAGCTAAAACCATCTGAGACTTCTCAAGTCGGGCGAAAACAATCTAAGACTTCCGAAGTGGGAACATATGAGATTTCCGAAGTGGGAACATATGAGACTTCCGAAGTCGGAACATATGAGACTTTCAAAGTCGTAACATATGAGACTTCCGAAGTCATAACATATGAGACTTCCGAAGTCAGAATATCTGAAACTTTCAAAGTTGGAGTGAAAACATCTTAAACTTCATATCATCTGAATGGACGGCCATTGAATGGATAACCCATGGGTTGAGTATCAACCTTTAAATATCTTGGCAGATGAAGAGCAAAATATGATCAAACTTAACACACAAACACCAAAATCCTACTTTTTTTTCTTACACTTTTCATTTCCTAATATACGATTTACTTTTCAAGCATGTAGATTAGTCAAGTTCTTCAATTTCATTAGTGTAAGTTTATATTCACGCAATTTACATTATGTCATTTTTAGATTCAAATTATTTGAATTATTTTTCTTTTCATTATTCTTGAATTTTCATTAAGTTTAATTCAGAGTCTATTTCAATTTTTCGTTCTTATTTTTGCTTTTATCTTAATTTAACTTTAATTATTGCTTTAATATGTTTTTCTTACATTTACTTTCTTCTCATTTAGTTTAATCACATTTTTTTATTTAATTACATTTTCATCACTCAAATCCCAAAATTTTAAAAATAGACATACAAAGCTCAACCATTCTTGACTCTAAGGAAGTGAAAAAACCTAGGTCAAGAGAAGTTCTTGGTTTATTATAATATTTTCACATGGGCATTATTAAAAGTCAAAAAGTGAGTCCTTTTGTACAACCTAAGCAAAATTAATGTGTCTTTTGGAGCATGCAGAAATAAGGCAAAGTGAGACACATAGTTGGGTTTCAAGGGATAGCATGACACAAATTGAATTTTACGGGGCCAAATGAAACTAGAATTAAGTTTCAAGTGACAAATAAATAATTAAGCTAAAACAATATAAACGCAATTGGTGGTGTGACTAAAATTTAGAATAAGGGTTTTTGACCGAAATTGTCCATGAACTTATACCCAAGTTTCCTTCTGTTCACCCCGTTTTGTGATTTCTCCTGAGATGGAAGGGCAAAGTTCCCCACTGCCTTGAAAACCATTGACTGGTCAACAAGTCAGCTTTCTTTGGTGCATGAGTGTGCCACTGCTAGCAATGAAGATTCTAGCAGACTTAT